TGGGCTTAGAGTTTATTTGTTTGTGATTCTCAAATTCTACAGTAAATCAATTCTCATTTTCAACCACACATTCTTCAATAAAATAATATTTTCCATCACATCAATAATTTTTTCTTCTTTTTCAACCTCACATTTCCCATCATATCACTATTCAAAATCAATTCTTCCTCCAAAAATCTCTCCCAAACAAGTTCTGAATTTTGAAGTGGAAATTACCAATGAGTTACGAAGAAAAAACTAGTAATTTATAAAAAGGGAAACTCTATCGTGTTATAAAACATGATAAGAGTGAAGAAAAGTAGTAGAGTCAAAATTCAAGTACATGGTGTATAACTATGGGATAATTATTAATGACTATTTAGTCTTATCAAGATATTTAAATAAGTATTTTTTTTTTACTCTGGAAGAATGTATTATATTGAAACTGTAACTCATATTAAAACCTTATATAAAAGAATCGTTGCTATAATGAAATATAGACTTGAGTTTTGACTCTCTCTATTTTTTCCTTATATATCTCTCTTGTTTCTTTAGTTTAATTTATAACATGTTATCAGTACGAAGGGTTAACCCAAAAAAGAGTGAAAATTCCAAATCAACGGTCTAGCAAATTCATAGAATATGTACAATTGTGATCAAATATTGATATTTCAACGTTCCGTGATACGATCGAGGTGAAATTTGGATAATACATTCACGAGTCATTTTTATTCACATCTTGCGATTAAGATCAGATCCAACAATTCATTCGTGAGATACAATTACGTGAGCTTTGTCAAATTTTGAATGGACTACTAAGATCTATAGACTACTTGAAGATTTTTACGTCTAACAAATCTGAAAAGCACTTCAATTTAATTGCTCTATTTCTACTACCACTAAGTTCATTAACTAGAAGTTTTAGCATTTATATATCAAATCACGTAAGATTATTCAAAATATTATTTATTATGCTTATGCTCTGAAGAAGCGTAATTAAAATTATATATATTTATTCTAAGCGAATATCATTTTGATATTTTTGAAGAAACAATACCTAAGTTATATAAATATTTTCAAATAATATTATACTTCAAAAGAAAACATAACTCTTTATATAATTATTACAGAAAAACCACACTATTACTTTTGAAGAAGAATAAAATAATGCATATTAAAATTTTTGAAGTGTACCGTATTGTGCTCCCAAAAAAGCACAAATCCATAACTATCAATACTTTAGAAAAGTATTGTGCTACTATTGAATAAGCTAAAATTTATATTATGTTAATGTTCTAATAGAATATTACTTGCTCTTGGAGGACATAACTATAAAAGTACCGTATTCAACATGAAAATTGTGTTATTGCTCCTGAAAAATATAACTTTATAAGTTTCAATTCTCAAAAAATATTAATTATTATGTCGGCTTCCGAATTAGCACAAATCTCAAAAAAATGTCATATAATTTACAATAATATTTACTATATTTATGCTCCTAAAGAAGCATAACTAAATATGATATAGTTAAATATTATATTAATAATTTAAATGTATAAGATGGTGATATTTTGAAAAGAAAAAACATAGTACAAGCATATAAATATTCTAGAAGAATATTGCAGTATTGTTCATGAAGTTGATTCCATTTATGCGTGTTAATATTCCAATAGAATATCACTTTTAATCGAGTGAAGAGAATGTGTTTTTGAATACTGATAAAAACTAATGCCAATAAAATATGAGATTATGCAAATCTTACTCAATGCTCCAGAAGAGACAATATTGAGGAACAAAGTTTACTATTGCTACTATTTTGTTCTCCACTAAGGCTCCGTTTGTCTCCAATTATTCCAAAACATTGTTTGCTACAGTAAGATTCTTCACCACATATTCACTCAATAAAATATTCTACACACAAACCAATAAAATTACTTTAAATTTCAACCACACATTCTCCAAAAAATACTA